AGTAGGAAACTGACCTAGAGTTTTTGGTGGTTTTAGCATCCTTTGTTTATTTTTGTTCCCTAATGCAGCTGCTGAAAACCTTAATGGCTGTCCCTATCTTCTTTCCCAGTCTGAATCACAAAGACTTATAGTGTGCTTAGGGACTCTTAGCGCTTAAGCAAAAAGACACAGGATATTGGGACACTTTTAGATTACTTTGTGACTTTTTTAGTTATAGACACAATGTGGCTCATTGTTTCTGGATCATCATTAATTCTTCTGATAATACACACATGTACATTTAGCTGTGTATTATTCCTGAGCTAATTATTTGAGAATTCCTGCATGTTCTATTCTCTGATGTGGTTGATCTTATTGACTATAAACCCCCTTTACACAGAGCAGAGGCAGGTGAGGGAAAAGATGTATTAGTAGAATGAGAGGCACCCTGCTAGCTCAGCTTGTGTGTGTAGATGTGGCAGGGAGTCAGGCTGTGAGTGTAGACCCGTACCTCCACCTGTGGGGTGTGTCCCGTCCCTAGAAGTCAGATCCTGGAGTACTGTTGGCCCCCGTTTCTTCAAACAGATGTTCATTTAGCATTTACTGTGTGTTAGGAAGTAATGCAGAGAGATAGGATCTCTGCCCTCATCCAGCTACAGTACAAATGGGGAAGATGGGACAAGCATTGAATCCCCAAGTACATGCTAGACCTTTCTTATAACAATAGGAGTTTGATCCAGAAGGGTAGTACAGATTCATAGAATGAATGTTACCTGGTTATTCTTCCCCTGGCTTCACTTGTGAACAGCCATCATACAGTTCTGACTTTGAATCTCTTCCTATAGTAACTACAGTGCTTTCATCTTTGAACCCCCAGCACTTTGCACTGCACTTGGCCCAAGGCTGGTTCATGGTAAATGTTAGCTAAGTTTTTTTGAATTTATTTTCCTAACCATTGGCTGGGAAACACTCTGAGGAAGAGAGAGAAAAGAACCCTTCTAAGGAAAGCCACGCATGGTCTAATAGAGGAATTCTTTGGCGTTGGATTTGATCTCTGTCTGTGGTAGACTGAGCAGGCCCACCTTCTGAAAGTGCAGACTAAAAATGCTTATTTGGCTGGGGTGGACTTCCACAATGGGGCATTTCCTATTTATTATAAAGTGCAAAATTCAGGTGCCAGTTTTATTGAAAGCAGGTTTGTACATAGTACAGCACTTGTATTTGTATCTTGTAATGAGAACAGAAGACACCTGAGTGCCCAGGACACGTAGTTCCTCCTACCCCAGGCTTGTCTTCAGAGAAATCAGGACACACACACACACACACGAGAAAGAGAGAGAGAGAGAGAGAGAGAGAGAGAGAGAGAGAGAGAAGCCATGTATTTATAGACTTTGTCATCTATGTGCAAAGGCTCACAGTTTATTCCTAATATTTGGATTAGAATTTTAAGTTCAGTACTTAAATCCTTTTGATGTCCTGTTCAGTAAATACTTCTGAAGGAACCCATTCCCCTTTTAGCTAGATTTAAAATAGAAAGAGAGGTGAGACTGTGTTCCTGGTAATATGGAGTGAGAATTTCTGGGTGTGTGTCTGTTTTTGTGTGTGTGTGAATTATTATTATTATTATTATTATTATTATTTGGTAAGAGAACATCCTATATAATAAAACCCTAATATGTAAATTGACCGAACGGTGGAATGGCTGGCAGAACGACCGGTTGCTATGATGTGCACTGACCACCAAGAATCACATGCTCAACGCAGGAGCTGCCTCCTGGTGGTCAGTGTGCTCCCACAGTGGGAGCGCCGCTCAGTCAAAAGCCAGGCTCATGGCTGGCAAGTGCAGTGGTGGAAGTGCTAAGGAGCAGCGAGTCAGGTGGTAAGGAGCAGTGAGCAGGTGGGCAGTAAGGAGCAAGGGGTCCCGGACTGTGAGAGGGATGTCCTACTGCCAGCTTAGGCCCGATCCCAGATCGGGCAGGTGGACACCCCTGAGGGGTTCAGGACTGCAAGAGGGTGCAGGCTGGGCTGAGGGACCACCCCCCCCCTCACTAATTTCGTGCACCGGGCCTCTAGTCCTATATAATAAAGAGCTAATATGCTAATTAGACCGAACAGCAGAACGACCATCCGGACGACTTTCTGGACATAGCCTGGGCTGTGAGGGCCAAGGCACAAAAATCGTGCATTGGGCCTCTAGTTTATTTATAAAACTACAAAGATGGAAGAAGAACTCTGTAGAAGGAATGGGCTGAGGAAATAAGTTATAGAGGCAAAAGAAGGGCTCTAGGAGCTTGGGAGTGGGGAAGGTAATGGTAATGCCTGTGGGAGGGAGTAGAGGGGAAGGGAAAAGGAAAGGTGTGGGTATGCTCCCTGTGGGGAGAGCACCTATTGTGAATTATTAACCAGCTAACCAGGTGCTTGTTCTGGCTCTCCCAGATCGGCCACCATGGCTCAATACCTCCGTGGCCATGGGGCACAACTACTTCACAACCTTCCGTGGGGTGATGAGGACAGCAGAGTTGGGGAGGAGGTGTCAGCAGTCACTGAATGTTTTTGTGCCTCATTATAACTAGTAAAGAGCTTGGGTTCTGGTGTCAGAAGGTTCAGAATCCATCTCTGCCATTATTAGCAGTGAAGCCTTAGTAGGCAAATTACTTCACCTCTCTGAGCCTTAGTTTCCTCATCTGTAAATTGGGATAATAGTAGGACCTACTTCATAGGGTTCTACATGATTAAATGAGATCACATAGGTAAGCATTTAACACGGTACTTGGCACATGTTAAAAGCTCCATCAGTGGTAAATCTGTGACACATGTAAACTCTCAAACACACACACACGAAGGTTTGCCATCTCCTTACCCAGGGCATAGTGAAATCCAAGACTCTTGCTATCCCTTGCTCTAGGAAGCCCAGGAGAAATGGGAAATTTCTGATTCCTGGATCCCTTTGTGTTAGGAGAATCCTTTTTGTTACTTAAGTGTCTGTGTAAGAAAAGGGGATGTGAAAGACTGAGGGAGGGCACACATGGCAGTGGGTGCCTCTCACAGGGGCTTGCAGTGCCAGGTCCTCAGCTGGGGAGCCCTAGGAATCAGGAGTCACCCTGCTGCCAGGGCTTGGGTGATTGCTCAGACCCCTGTTAGCAGGTCCTTATTCAGGGCCACTGCTGTCTCTGAGGACATTCCCGAGCTGTCCAAAGGACTGCCCAGGGGCTGGACCTAGGACAACCTTGTCCCACTTCTGCTGGGGGCCTGTTGTCCTGGGCCTCTCATTGAGGAAAGGGTCTTAGACTGTGATCTTGGGGACCATGACCTTTTTTTCTTCTGTTGTGCATTGTGCTTAGCGTACATCTCCTAGCATGTTAAAAACCTGCCCCACACTTTAAAATCTTGAGTACAGGTCTGTAATCTAACTCATAACAAAACTTTGCCCTCCCTACCTAGTGGTTGGTAGATTTTTAAAATGATGCATTTGTACAGCAGAGTTACTCCCATTAGTCTCAGCTTGGGCCCTAAAAAACAGGGAGCAATCTCCCTTTTTCTGGAGCATTTAGGGTTAGATGGTCGGTTAGTCTTGGCATTGCTCTTCACTTTCTCAGAGTCAGTGGCATGGTGGTTAAAACCTAGGCTTTGGAGTCGACAGCTTGGGTTTGAACTCCCATTTACTGTGTGATCTTAGGCAAACCATCTCTCTGTGACCCATTTTTTTGTTTTTGTTTTTCCTTCTGAAATTTACCTGTAAGGTTATCCCTTAGGATTAAATGAACTAATGTTGGAAACTTCGTGGCCTGGCCAGGAAGGCATCTGGCACTGGGTTATATTTTTTGTTACAGTTGTTAAGATGGAGATATCTGGTGATTGTCTGGCTGTTTTTATTTCCCTCCTTTGGGTCAGTGACTCAGGTAGCAGTTGGGATACACTGAAGTGCCTGTTTGCTTCAGGCATCTGAAAAGGCAAGGCAGCCTTGGCCAACCTGGGAGCTGCCCCCTCTCCTGTTGGTTGCTTGTTGAGCTATTGGGTGACCAGGTGGGGGTAGGTGGGGCCTGGGATGGGACGCCTGGAGGTGTGCGCCCTTGACCCCAGTTTTTTCTGCTGTTTGTGCCCAGGTGGCAGCACCATGGATAGCTCCGCAAGAGGCAAGGCTAGGCCTGAGGCTGGGGAGGACAAGGAGGGATTCCTTTCCAAACTTAAGAAAATGTTTACCTCCTGATACCTAGCCGAGGTAGGAAAACCCTTGAGGTTTCTCCCCTTTGTTTTTCTCTGTTAACTAATCCTTGTTTTCCCTTACTTTAACCAATTTCATGCCCCACATGTCCCCCATACCCCCAGAGTTGGAAGAGGTACCAGGCTCAGGCATGGTGTATCTGGCTCCCCTTGGAGCCAAGCTTCTTGGCCCATGGAGACACCTGCATTAGGTAATGTGGCAGAGTCAGTGCCAGTGCAGGGCTGAAGCAGACGTAGGGGGAGGCTGCACTGGGGGCTGCCTCTCAGCCCTCCCTCCACCAGCTCCTAGGGGGCTGCATCCCACAGTGGTGGGAATCTGTTGCCCACAGTCACAGAGGGTGAGTCATAGCAGAGCCAGGCTTAGAACTCAGATCTCCCCAACTCCCTGCCTGTTTCATAACGCCTGTTCTTCCTGGGGATGTAGGGCACCATGTAACCTCCGGGGGCTGCCAGGAGTTGTGCTTGCTAACTGGGTTCTTGGGACCAACTTTGTACTTGTGTGGGTTCCTGATGGCTGCAGCTCCTGGCATAGCTCCTTCCCAGGGATGATAGAAGCTCACCCACAGGAGTTTGCTGTCCTTGCAGTGCCAGTAAACTGTAACCATTTGTGTCTTGGCTCAGGAAAACGGTCCACTGGGAACTAGGCTGGGAGCAGCGGCTCCTCCTCATGGCCAGGGCACCTTGGAAGCAGGAGGATTCCAGAACTGCAGCACCAAGCCTTGCCTACAGAGGCCCTCTGGACCGTCTTGGCAACAGCAAAATCATGTGACAACACGCCTCTCCACAGAATGGTCATGGTGGACAGCCCCTGGGCAGTAAGGCATGGCATGCCTAAGGGCTGGTAGAAGTTTTTGTTCCATGGGTGTAACTCAGCCTCTTCTGGCTCAGACAGAGTAAGACATCTGGATACGTCCTGCAGAGCCAAAACTCTAATTTGGAATCAAATGTGGTAGAAATCTTAGTAAAGAATTAAAGGCTATGCTTACAGCTTTAAAATGAAGCCTGAAGCTGCACCAAGTTGTGAAGTGATTAATTTCCCTCTCATCAAACCTCTGGGAGGCTCTGGAATGAGTCTTTCCTGACAGGTTGTCTTTTCCAGGAACTAGGGCCCTGCAAGCCCCCCTCAGTAGACGTATCCCTTGCTCTTCTTGGAATTTGTTTTAATTCCCAAGGGTACCAAGCAGCTGGAACGTAAGGGCCTTGGGTCCTGGGGAGTCCCACACAGAGGGTCCCTGAGATACTGTTCCTGACGTGGGCTGTGATCTTTGTCAGGATGGATAGTCCTCCCACCCCACTGGGGTGGCCTCTTGTCCATGACTGTTGAGTTCTGTTGTTTGACGCCAGGTGTGAGTGGAGCCTGCCCGTCTGCTGGACCACAGCCATCCCTGGCTACAGCCTGGCTAATGGCCTCCTTATCCCAAAGCCTTAGCCCACTGCCCGCTACAGCTTGGTTCTCACCACTTACACTGTTGACACCTGTTTGCAGAAGCGTTTAAATTATTTAATGCTAAGAATCATTGTCTTTTCCTGTATAAATGTTTGTTCAGAAAAGGAAAGCACAGTCTAAGCAGGTGAAGGCTCTCCAGCATCCAGCCAGAGCAAAACAGTTTCCTCAACCTCAGCTTCTAGGATGTGTAGATTCCATTTCCAGACCTTCCCGTTGTGGTAAGACAGGCTAATGGAGAACACTTCTGAATAGCTTCCCTTCATAATTTACTAAAATAAAGCATCTATTAGTGTCTGATCTACGAATGTAAAATGATTCTGTATCAATGTAAAAGATTATCTACTGCAAAAAGATATTTAAAACCTACATTGTGGTTACTTCTTTTTTGAAAGCGTTCCAGCAGCTTTCCGCAGGTGGCTTCGCAGGGGCTTATGGTGTTCTCAGCAGATCAGGCTGCGCCACGCTCCTGCTGGCCTTCTCGTCCAGTCATACCTGCCTGCGAGCACGTGCACGCTGAAGGGTGTGTGCTTTGACAAAAACTAACCCTCTCCAGCCCAGGTCCCAGAGCAGGGAGCTTGCCATGGAACAACGTGCTGATTTGAATGAATGTTCTAGAATTTGGTGGGTAGCTTCTTTTGGGGGAGCCTGTGCCATGAGAGATGTGCAGTATAGTCTCCTACATCACTGTCTCCCTTGCTAGATTTAGTTCTCCCCCATTATGTTTAGAGGACTATTAACTCAGTGTGTGTGTGTGTGTGTGTGTGTGTGTGTGTGTGTGTGTGTGTGAAAATTTTTGCTCATTGTAGTTTGATAGTCTGGGCTCCCAGCAGAGACTGTCTCACAAAAGCCCCAGTGCTGCACAGCTGGAGTGGGTCCCATGCACATCTCTCCCACCAGCCTCTGGGCTCTGAGCTGAGCAGTTGGAGCACACTGGCTGGGCTGGGTGAAGAGGATGGGAAAGACCTGAGGGGCAAGGAAGGAGCTTAGCAGGGACCTCCTGCCAGGTTTAGATGCTTGTCATTCATTCAAGCAGTTTTATTGAGTGTCTGCTGTGGACTCTGCATGGGTCCAGACAGAGTAAGACATCTGGATACGTCCTGCAGATCCAAAACTCTAATTTGGAATCAAATGTGGTAGAAATCTTAGTAAAGAATTAAAGGCTATGCTTACAGCTTTAAAATGAAGCCTGAAGCTGCACCAAGTTGTGAAGTGATTAATTTCCCTCTCATCAAACCTCTGGGAGGCTCTGGAATGAGTCTTTCCTGACAGGTTGTCTTTTCCAGGAACTAGGGCCCTGCAAGCCCCCCTCAGTAGACGTATCCCTTGCTCTTCTTGGAATTTGTTTTAATTCCCAAGGGTACCAAGCAGCTGGAACGTAAGGGCCTTGGGTCCTGGGGAGTCCCACACAGAGGGTCCCTGAGATACTGTTCCTGACGTGGGCTGTGATCTTTGTCAGGATGGATAGTCCTCCCACCCCACTGGGGTGGCCTCTTGTCCATGACTGTTGAGTTCTGTTGTTTGACGCCAGGTGTGAGTGGAGCCTGCCCGTCTGCTGGACCACAGCCATCCCTGGCTACAGCCTGGCTAATGGCCTCCTTATCCCAAAGCCTTAGCCCACTGCCCGCTACAGCTTGGTTCTCACCACTTACACTGTTGACACCTGTTTGCAGAAGCGTTTAAATTATTTAATGCTAAGAATCATTGTCTTTTCCTGTATAAATGTTTGTTCAGAAAAGGAAAGCACAGTCTAAGCAGGTGAAGGCTCTCCAGCATCCAGCCAGAGCAAAACAGTTTCCTCAACCTCAGCTTCTAGGATGTGTAGATTCCATTTCCAGACCTTCCCGTTGTGGTAAGACAGGCTAATGGAGAACACTTCTGAATAGCTTCCCTTCATAATTTACTAAAATAAAGCATCTATTAGTGTCTGATCTACGAATGTAAAATGATTCTGTATCAATGTAAAAGATTATCTACTGCAAAAAGATATTTAAAACCTACATTGTGGTTACTTCTTTTTTGAAAGCGTTCCAGCAGCTTTCCGCAGGTGGCTTCGCAGGGGCTTATGGTGTTCTCAGCAGATCAGGCTGCGCCACGCTCCTGCTGGCCTTCTCGTCCAGTCATACCTGCCTGCGAGCACGTGCACGCTGAAGGGTGTGTGCTTTGACAAAAACTAACCCTCTCCAGCCCAGGTCCCAGAGCAGGGAGCTTGCCATGGAACAACGTGCTGATTTGAATGAATGTTCTAGAATTTGGTGGGTAGCTTCTTTTGGGGGAGCCTGTGCCATGAGAGATGTGCAGTATAGTCTCCTACATCACTGTCTCCCTTGCTAGATTTAGTTCTCCCCCATTATGTTTAGAGGACTATTAACTCAGTGTGTGTGTGTGTGTGTGTGTGTGTGTGTGTGTGTGTGTGTGTGAAAATTTTTGCTCATTGTAGTTTGATAGTCTGGGCTCCCAGCAGAGACTGTCTCACAAAAGCCCCAGTGCTGCACAGCTGGAGTGGGTCCCATGCACATCTCTCCCACCAGCCTCTGGGCTCTGAGCTGAGCAGTTGGAGCACACTGGCTGGGCTGGGTGAAGAGGATGGGAAAGACCTGAGGGGCAAGGAAGGAGCTTAGCAGGGACCTCCTGCCAGGTTTAGATGCTTGTCATTCATTCAAGCAGTTTTATTGAGTGTCTGCTGTGGACTCTGCATGGGTCCCTTCATGATCCTAGACCCGGGTACAGCAGCAGGAAGCTAGGTGGAGCATCTCCTGACAGCTTAGTTTATCTCCTACAGAAGTCAGCAGAGTCCCACTCATGTCCTGTTTTTTGAAAGAAGAAGTCTAGAGAAAAATTTTGAAAGAGAAAAGTGGGTTTTCTTGCTAGCAATACCATTATTGCTTACGAGGGCCCTTCCCGCAGATGTAGGAAGGTGCCAGTGCAAATCTAGCATCAAGTCCCACTCAAGGCTTGGATTGGGCTTATTCCCACAGTTGGCTCCTGAGGCATTTGTCACCAGACAACTTTGCAGCCTGAGCTGAGGCTGAGCATGAGATGAGGCATTAAAAAAAAATTATCGCTAGGCCCCAGCCTTTGGAGATTGAGAGGAGGGGCAAAGGCAGATGGGTGTTGAGCATTTGCTGAAATGTTAGGATGGATGAGGGAAGGCAGGGTCACATGGGCGTGAGGCCAGCTTGGGCACTGAACCTTGTCTCCATCCCCCTCTGCAGGCCTCTGTTCTGGTTTGTTTTCCCACCTGAGCCATCCTCCTCCTCAGGCCTTTGGGCTCTGGTGGACTTGAGTGCAACGTTACTTCCCTGACATGAAAACCCCCTTAGTGTATAAGAATCTCTCCAATCCCATAAGCCTACTTCCCAGGACTGTCCCTGCCCTTTACTTTGTTCTGTAAAATTGGAGCCCTTCACTGAATACTTTGTTATATCAGCTGTCACAGCTTTTGTGGGAGGCATGTAGCACTCTTGTTAATAAACACTGTGAAACCTGAACTTTATATATCTTTTAACCAGTTCTGCTTATTTGACATGATCCTTGTGATGGGTCAAACACATGGCCCAGTCAAGGAACTTTACATAAAGAAACAAAGTGAGCCCTGGCCAGTGTGGGTCACCGGTCAGAGCCAAAGCCTCACAGGTTCGATTCCTGGTCAAGGGCACGTACCTGGGTTGCAGGTTTGATCCCTGGCCCCAGTCGGGGCACATGGGGGAGGCAACCAACCAATGTGTCTTTCACATCGATGTTTTTCGCTCTCCCCCTCCTCCTTCCCTCTTTTCCAAGTCAGTGGAAAAATATCCTTCAGTGAGGATTAGCACACAAAAAAGAAACAAAGTGGGCCCTGACCTGCAGCTTCAGTGCCCAGGAGACAGCAGGGAGTGGAGACTGGCTGCCCTGTTTACATAAAGAAACAAAGTGAGCCCTGTGGATAGAGCGTCGGCCTGCGGACTCAGGGTCCCAGGTTCGATTCCGGTCAAGGGCATATACTTTGGTTGCGGGCATATCCCCAGTAAAGGGGACAGCCACTCTTCAGCTCCCCAAGGCAGGGTAGGGGGTTAATGCAGGAATTCAAACCCAGTGCTGCCATAGCTTGTGCTTTCCAAGAGAAGCTGGGCATCCATATATTTTTTAACAGACTTTTATTAAAATATTGATTTTAGAGGAAGGTAGAGAGAGAAAAAAACATCAATGTGAGAGAAACATCCATCGGCTGTCTTCTGCACATGCCCCAACCGAGGAGTAAACCCAAAATCTGGGTATGTGCCCTGACCAGGAATCAAACCTGACTCTTTTTGCTGTTAATCCCCACTGGTGGCTATTTCTCCCATTGATTTTAGAGAGAGTGGGAGGGAGGAGGAGGGAGAGAGAAGAGAGAGAAACATAGATAAAGAGCCACATCAATTGGTTACCTCCCACATACACCCCAATTGGTGCAGGGAACCTGCAACCCAGGTATGTGCCCTTGACTCTAATCAAACCTTGGACCCTTCAGTTCGAGGGCCGATCCCTAACCACTGAACAGCACCAACAAGGGCAGCATCCAGATTGTTTATGCGGAGTGATACATCATTTTTAAGGTAACAGTTTTATTGAGATATTTACGTACTATTCAACTCATCATTAAAGTGTACAATTTTGTGGGTTTTAGTTCCAAGGTTGTACAACCATCACCACACTCAATTCTAGAAAAATTTCATTACCTCAAAGAAATTCCAGGAGAAAGCTGACGGTCCAGCCATCGACGGTCCAAGGGCCTGAGGGGGGCAGCGCAGCCCAGGACCGTGGAACTTAGGGCCCCGGAGGACTCGGGTCTGAGAGGGTGGAAGTGAGTGATGATTGAGGTGGTTTGCAACGACCGTCTGGGGAAGAAGATCCGCGTGAAGTGCAACACCGATGACACCATCGGGGACCTGAAGAAGCTGATCGCCGCCCAGACGGGGACCCGTTGGAACAAGATCGTGCTGAAGAAGTGGTACACAATCTTTAAGGACCACGTTTCTCTGGGCGACTATGAAATCCATGATGCGATGAACCTGGAGCTTTATTACCAATAAAGCAGAACTTCTTCCTCGTGCCCGGTCCCCCCGCCCCTCTCCCGCTCTCAGCCCCAGCACTGGTATGGATGCTTGTTTTTAAAAAGTCATGTTAGCCCTAACCAGTCTGGCTCAGTGGATAGAGCGTCGGCCTGCAGACTCAAGGGTCCCAGGTTCGAGTGTGCAGGAGGCAGCTGATCGATGTTTCTCTCTCATCGATGTTTCTAACTCTATCCCTCTCTCTTCCTCTCCCTTCCTGTAAAAATTCAATAAAATATATTTTAAAAAGTCATGTTAATAAAAACGTTTAAAAAAAAAATTCCAAATCCATTAGCAGTTACTCTCCATTTTCTCCCAAGTCCTTCAGTCTCTGGCAACCACAATTCTGTTGTGTGCGTGGTTTCTAAGTGGAGTTTGACAATATGTGACCGTCTGTGGTTCTTTTCTCATTTCATTTAGCATAAATGTTTCAAGGTTTGTCCATGTTGTAGCATAAATCAATACTTCATTTCTTTTTATGGCTGAATAATATTCCATTATATGAATAGACATTTTTCCCCATTTACTGACATTCATGTTATTTCTGCTTTTTTGCTATTATCAATAATACTGCTATGAATGTCTCATATTGAAATGTTGGCAGCTACTTCTATGAGATGCTTGGCATAGTCAAACCCATAGAGACAGAAAGTAGAAGGGAGGTTGCCAGGGGCTAGAACAGGGGTGGGGAACCTTTTGCTCTGACAAGAGCCACTTGAATATTAGTATCATTTGCTGAATATAATTCACTTAATATAAATTCATGTTGCTATGAAAAAAGCTCCTAGATTTATTGAATTTTGAACCCGCCTGCAATTGCCTTGGCAGGGCCAGACCAAATGATTTCCAGGGCCTTTTAAGGCCTGTGAGCTGGACATTCCCCACCCCTGGGCTAGAGGGAGGAGGGTTAGTTAAAGGTTAATGAGTACAGAGTTTCAGTATGGGATGATGAAAAAATTCTGGAGATGGATGGTGGTGATGGTTGTACAGTAACAACGAATGTACTTATTGCCACTGAACTGTACAGTTAAAAACAACTGAAATAGCCCTGGCCAGTGTTGTCCCATGCATCAAAAGGTTGCTGGTTCAATTCCTGTTCAGGGCATATGCCTGGGTTGTGGGCTCAATCCTCAGAAGGGGCCGGGCAGGAGGCAGCCAATTGATGTTCCAGTCTCACATAGAAGTTTCTCTCTGTCCCTCTCCTCCTCCCTTCCTCTCTCTCTCAAAATCAAAATATTTTTAATGACTAAAATAGTAAGTTTTATGTTATGTATATTCTACCATAGCTAAGAAAGTAAAAAATAAATGAGAGCTAACTAGTGTATTTCAGGGACCAAATTTTAGAAGACCAGGCACACATGGCAGTCCGCCTGATCAGGACGTGTGCTGGGAACTCCTCAGCCAATAGGACGACATGGTGGCACTGGGAGTCGTCCCCTCCTTGTGGTGTGACCCCCCCATGTGCTTGCCTTTTTTTTTTTTAACAATTTGTTCCACTTTTTTTTTATACTTTTGAGCAATCTGTGATGTGGCTGGACTTGGCTGACAACCTGGTAGCCAGAATTCAATAGTTCTCATTCCTAGGCCCAGAAACAGACACTCTGTAGTTTTTGGATCATACTAACATCTATATAGTCCATTCATCCCTAGCCACCCTCGTGGGGATGAAATGAGAGGGATTTATTAATTCTGCCTAAAGGAAAGGAAAATGGCCCTGACCGGTTTGGCTCAGCAGATAGACTAGAGCGTCGGCCTGCGGACTCAGGGGTCCCAGTTCGGTTCTGGTCAAGGGCATGTGCCTTGGTTGCGGGCACATTCCCAGTGGGGAGTGTGCAGGAGGCAGCTGATGGATGTTTCTCTCTCATCGATGTTTCTAACTCTCTATTCCTCTCCCTTCCTCTCTGTAAGGAATCAATAAAATATATTTTAATAAATATATGTTTTTATTGATTTCAGAGAGGAAGAGGGAGAGAGAGATAGAAACATCAATGATGAGAGAGAATCATTGACTGGCTGCCTCCTGTACACCCCCCGCCAGGGACCGACCCCACAACCTCGGAATGTTCCCTTGAAGGGAATCGAACCAGGGGCCCTTCAGTCCATAGGCCGACACTCTTATCCACTGAGCCAAACCAGCTAGGGCCTGTGCTTTCTTACTGTAGTGATTCGAAGTCAGGCAGGACCACCCTGAGCCACAGCCCCAGGCAGGTAAGTTTCCCACCAGGGGACCTGTGGGACTTGGGCATCATCACATAGGGCTGGATGCAGATAATCTCTCATGTTCTCTTGCTGGCCCAGGCAGGTTGGAATCCCAGGCTGTCATGGTCTTTTCCCTCCTACCCTGCCTCAGAGGCTCACTGTCCTCCCCTCAGAGCTAAGAGGCTGTCCCCATCCCCATTAAAGTAGGCCCCTCTAGCCCAGCTGGTGTGGCCCAGTGGTTGAGTGTCAACCCATGCACCAAGAGGTCACTGGTTCGATACCCGGTCAGGGCACATGCCCAGGTTACAGGCTTGAGCGTGTGGGAGACAGCCAATCAGTGTTTCTTTCTCACTGAAATTTCTCTTGCCCTAAAAATCTATAAAAATACATATTTTTTAAAAAAGACCCCTTCCAATTGTTATCCTTGTTCTCTGCAGTTCTGTGTCAATCTGTAATTATTTATTGCATATTTGTATCTGGCTCTCCTCAAGGCATGGAGCGTAACATTTTTGGTTAACACTGTATTGAGAAACCAGCACATTGGTAAGTGCTTTTTAAATTAATAAACAGATGGCATGAGTTTGGTAGAACTACCACTCCTTCCCCGTGAGTCTCTGGGTACCAAGGGGAGCAAAAAGGGCTGTGATGGAGATTATACAAATCCACAGAAAATAAGGCGGCCACAGCACCTTTGGCCATTGAGCCTTGGGTGAGTAGCCTGTGTTCTCTAGGCCTTTTGTTCCTTTTCTCTCAAGTGAACAGGAAATGGAAGGTTGCACCACCTGCCTCCAAATGCCTGGTGGGCTCTACAAACAAAGCAGGGTTACTTCTTGGTTTCATTCTTAGTCTTTGCTGCAAGTAGTGTCACCTTTGTGTGTATGTGTGTGTTTTGTTTTGTTAATCCTCAACAGAGGATATTTTTTCCATTGGTTTTCAGAGAGAGTGGAAAGGAAGGAGTGGGATAGAGAGAGAAAAACATTGATGTGAGAGAGACACGTTGATTGGCTGCTTCCTACACATGCCCAGACAAGGGGCAGGGAGTGAACCAGCAATTCAGGTCCGTGCCCTTGACCAGGAATCAAACCCGAGACCCTTTGGTCCACGGGCCTGTGCTCTAAGCACTGAGCAGCACCAGCCAGGGCAAGCAGCATCACCTTTTCTCAGCAGTGTCCAATTATGGTGACCTGGGGCCACAGACCTGCCACATCCCGTGTGCTTTTCCCCCAGCCTGTTTTGACGATCACGCACATCTTGAGCCTGCACCCAGGGGAGGCCCCACCCTCACAAAGAAGGAATAAGCTGTCACCATTGACCTTACTAGCTTTCTGGAGACGAAGGGTGTGTGTGCAGGGATGTCAAAAAGTGTTGCTCCTGGCTGGCGGGGGGAGTCCTCTGAGTGGCTGCGGGGGGAGTCCTCTGAGTCATGGGCTCTGTTCACACTTCTGAGTGAATTTCAAATGTGGAACAGGGTGGTCAGAGCCACGCCCTGGCTGTGGTCACAGTGCTGTTTCACAACTGTTAGACTAAACTTAAAGCTGCATTTGACTCCTGTGTGTCTTACCAAGCACCTCTTCCGCCTTCGCACCCCGTCACTGCAGGAGAGGACTGGCCCCCCACCACTCAATGTCTCCTGTTAGAATCAGTGCCCAGCAGCTGCCACCCCAGCTCAAGTCCCAGAAACAAAGCCCCTTTCTTTTGGAAGCCATCTGTGAGAACAATGGTTTTTATTTAAAAAAAAAACTTTTCTGTAACATAAGAAAGGATCATTGTGACTGCGCCTCCCCTCTCCCTAGATGGCATTGAGAGGTGGGCAGGGTCACAACCTGGAAAAGTCTTTTCTGTGCTGCTCCAGCCACTGATCCAGTGTCCTGGCCTTGGGGTTGAGCCTCAGGGTCAGTTCGATGTTCCGGTCGGGTTTCAAGGCATAGAAACGGAACATGTTGGCCAGGTCCTGGGCGCCAGGGAAGCCAAGCTTCTCGTAGTCCTCAGGGGTTGTCTGGAAGTAGAGGGGGCGGGGGGAGGGGAGGTCTGTGAGGATCCATCAACATCTCAGCATCCCGCTGAGGTGGTGGGGGCTGGGGGAAACCCCAGTCCCTACCAAGGTCCTTGCTAAGTCCACCTGAAACCATTCTAAAAGTTTAAAAACCAGCCCTAGCTGGTTTGGCTCAGTGGATAGAGTGTCAGCCTTCGGACTGAAGGGTCCCGGGTTCAATTCTAGTCAAGGGTACATGCTGGGCTGCGGGCTTGATCCCCAGTGGGGGGCATGCAGGAGGCAGCCAATCACTGATTCTCTCTCATCACCGATGTTTCTCTCTCCCTCTCCCTTCCTCTCTGAGATCAATAAAATTTTTGAATAAAAATAATAAAAATAAAAGTTTAAAAACCATGGTTCTGGGTCAATTTAAGATCTTGAGATGAAACCTCAGTTCCTTCCAAATCAGAACTGTTCACATCACTTTCTTGCTCAGAAACCAAAGCTGTTCCCCTTTCCAGACTGAATTGGATCAGAACCCCTCAGATCCTCCACAACCTGCCTCAAGCTTTTCTCTGTTGACACAGTGACACACGGCCACTTAGGGCCTTTTTTCTGTGCACATTGTTGTGCTGAGCTCCAGGTCTATTCCATTCAATCCTCATAACAACTCAAGCAGAGGACACTGTTCACACACCCACTTCATGGATAAGGAAACAAGCAGAGAGGGGTCAGGGACCATGCCTCAGGTTATACACTGTCAGGTGTTAAGGGCAGGGACTGGGATCCCAGTCTGCAGGGGTCTATCTGGCCCCAAACTCCCATCATTACTCTATTTGGGTCTGGGGGCTCTGCAGTAGCTTTT